TACGTTTTAGATGACTAGGAGTAGTTAAATTTCTCTTTCGTTNTAAATTAGCCTTATCTTTAGTTGATTTTTTTTTTAATTTTAATCTTAAAATAACCTATTTTTTCTAATTGAGTTTCTATTAGTTGATTTTTGGTTAGTCAGGTAACATGATCTTTGAGTTTAGTTTTTTTTTAAATAAAGGTTTTGTGAATAATATAAAATAATATTAATGTTAATGTAATTAATGACTTTTATTATTTTCGTTGAAAATGTATTAGATAATAAGATTAAGTTTTTCAATAACTTTCACGAAAGTATAGCAAGAAATTGTTGTGTCAACGTGATGTAGTAAAACAATAAGAATTTTTTGTTATCCAATATATTTTTCAATAAAAGAAACAAATGTACAATTCAACATAAAATAAAAACAACCACATCATTCAATTAAAAAAAATAAAAAAAGATTAATTAAAAATATGTAATTTTTAAGTATTTAAAACAAATAATTTAATGAAAATTTAAGTAAAAATATTTAAAATTACAATGGACTGAAAAGTTAATTAGTTTTTCTTATTCTATACAAAAGTTTATAAAATTTCCGTCCATCATAGCCTTAGGGCAAGGGAGCATCCACCTAAAAACATAAATGGAATTTATTAGTTTGTAACATTTGGGGACCTCGGAGAGAGAACAAAATTCAGAAATAAGGTAAATATTTCAGTCTTTCCACTCCCTTTTCAAAGTAAGATGTTGCTTCTAAACCTACTAAGTTTTGTTTTTTTTATAATTGAATAAAGTAAATTAAGACGAAATGATTGTTATTAGATTATTCTTTTCGAACATTTTCCTGGAAAAGAATAAAAAGACATAAAATGCACACTAATTTTGCAATGGAAAATAAAAGTTGTGAGATAATTCCATCCTAATAACATTGATAATCATTTAGAAAAAATTATCGAAATTTGACTTAAAGATAGAGATAAAAAAAATTTGTGGATAGCTAGTTAATAACGTTACCTTTTTTTTAAGAGAATGATGATTTAAAACAAACTAAGAATTTTTTTTACATGTGGTATGCTTGGTTTGTAATAAGCATATTTAAGAAAAGAGAATAAGAAAACAAGGAATGGAAACTTTACTTTTAAAAATTATAATATAAAATTACACTTTTTTGGCAAAATCATTATAATGGAGTAACTTTTCTTTAAAATTATTGTAATAGATGAATGTGAAAAGATTACAAAAAATAGGAAGTTGTTAGGTTTGCATAACACAACTCTTGTGAAATAATTTTTCTTTCTAATTTTCATTGAATTATATACTGTCAAGGTCATCTTGACTTATATTGGAGCTTGAATGCTATCCGACTTGTTAAGGATTCGTAAAAGAAGATGTAACCATTAAAGATATTAAAGTGAAGACATAAGAGAGTATACTGAAGTCATTCATGGACTTGTTGAGCATACATGAGGAGTTCAATAGGCCTATAAATGACTGCATCACCAATGTTCTAATATTCGTCCTTGCCAACCCATAAGCCCATTAATTATGTAGGTGTTTCATCCTGCACTTCCAACACTTATTATTATAATAATTATATTACAAAAATTAAAATTAAAATAATTAAAATAAAAATAATTATATAAAATCTGATTTAATATATAAATATATTAAATAATATTAAATTAATAAAATAGGATTTTGAAATTTTTAGATTTCTTAATTATTTTTATTTTTTTATATATTACTACTATAATAATATAAATTATATTTTAATAATTATTTAAATATAAAATATATTAGATAATATTAAATTTTTAAATTAAATTAAATAATTAATAAAGTATAAATAAAAAACAAATTTTTAAAACTTTTGTGTGGGAATTGGAATTCCGATAACATAGTTATGGGCACTTTTTCTAAAGTTTTATTTTCTATTTAAAATTAATAATAATTTAATTTAAATGAAAAAATTATATTTTAATAATAATTAAAATATTAAAAAATATTAGATTTTAAATTAAATTAAATAGTTATTAAATTATAAATAAAAAACAAAGTTTTAAAAAATTTGTTAAAAGAGTGCAGAGTTAAAGAAGTGTAGATTTACTTTAAATAGAAAGAGAAAAAGTAAAAAAAAAATATTTACTAAGATTAAAAAGAATTTTTTGAAAAAGTTGTAGGTGCAGATGAAGTGTTGGAGATGCAGGGTGAAACACCCATTACGTAGAGCTGTCAAAATGGGTCACTCAGTCCGACTCGATCCGGCCCACCACGGGTTGGTCTCTTAGTGAGTCAACCCAACCCGACTCATTTATTAGCGAGCCAAAAAAATTCGAATCTGGACCGATTCACCACGGGCTGGTGAATAAACGAGTTGGCTCACTTAATTATAATTTTTTATTAAAAAAATTACAAACTTTCTATGATTCAAATCTAAACAAATTTTACTCTCTTGAGTGTTTAATTAATTTTGAAAATAAGGAACTTAAATAATTTTTTCAAGAAAAATTATAAATATTGTTTTATAAAATTAAAATTAAATTTTAATAAAATAAAATTAGGTAGGTGGGTTGGTGGGCCAATCCGGCCATCACGGATTCAATTTTATGAGTCGAGTTTAAATAAGTCGGATTGAAATCTAACTCACATAAAAATATACAATATTTTCAAACTCAATACGATCCGAATCCATGATAGACTGAGTTACCACAAGCTGTGATTCATTTTGAAACAGCTCCATAATTATGGATTGAATTAATGTTCTCGGAGTGTGATGATAATCGAAAAAGGTAGAGTTTGCAAAGGCTATGCCTGATGCGATGTTTACTAATAAAGATCAGCATGGAATCATAGTCCATGAAGACCATCCTATAGTATTTTTAGTTATAATAATGGAAAGAAATGTGAACTTAGACAAAAGAAACTTGACAAACATGATGTTTTAAAACACCTTTAGGACTCCAAAATTCCAAAAAATAGTTACAACTTTTTTATGGGATTCTCGTGAGTCTCTAATTTGAAACTTTTTAGAAAGTGTTTGTACACTAAATAAAATTTTATTAAATATTTATATTCAAAGTATTTCACACTTTCATGTGAAAAAATCTTCATTTATTTATCTGTCAAATGTGTATTAAAACATTACATAACCTCAGTTTATATCATAATATATTAAAATCATACCACTTAAACACTGCTTCAATTAAAATAAAAAGATGAAATTGTAATGAAATGAATTGTTAAGCTCGCATGACTTCCATGGTATTTTTTCTTTTAATTTGTCATTTTGTATAACTTTGAAGAAAAATTGGCATCATTAAAGAGTTTGTTCCCCTCTTTTTCGTGTATGGTTTTCATGACCGTGGAATAAAATATTCTTATTTTTATTTTTTTCTTCTCATGATAAAAAAAGTCAAATGAAAAAAAAAGCCTCTTTATTTAATTATCAAATAAATTATTTACAGAAAAATAATAGGAGTATGATATGACAATATTTTGATAAGTGTGAAAAAGAGTTGTTTTTATACTTATAAATGAGCTCAATCTTGTAATTATTCATGTTGTTATACCTCATTGAAATAGTGTATTATTTAGACTCTGTCAGCCAATTTTCGCAAAGCGAAAACCAAAATTCGCACTGCCAGAAGAAGGAAATTCGTATAGCGCACCAGTACGTGTGCCTTAAGCGAATAACATCAGTTAAAGTACAGCAGTTAAGAAAATTCGCATAGCGCACCAGTACATGTGCGCTGAGCGAATTAATGAAATTAAGTGGCTTTAAAAGACGTGACAGAAAGACAGAAACATCCCGCTGACAGAAGTTCAGGACAAAAGAAAGAAACAAAAACATCTCAGGAACTTCCGGAGACTACTCCAAGGCATCAAGACACCATTGTTGCAAGGGATTGCTTCAAATGTGTACGTTTTAGATGACTAGGAGTAGTTAAATTTCTCTTTCGTTGGGATTGGATGTAATGAACTCACTGTGATTTAATTTTCCTGTTCAATATATCGTTGTTCGTTCATATGCTCTTTCTTGAATTTATTATCATTGTATGAAAATATAATGTTATTTGAATGTCTTTGATTACTGGAAAGTAACTTTGAAGATGTAGATAGAGCACTTAAGTGATTGGGATCTAGGATAGACTCAATAACTTAATCGTTCTTAACATCGGACTTAATGCAAATTGTATGTTAAATTGACTAAGAGATTATCATTTTAATATTAATTTAGAACTAGTTGTTAAGGGATTAGGACTAATATGTCTTGATGTGAATGTTTGAATGAAGTAATGAAATATTGAACAAAGTTTTATATTCATAAGATTCATGAAACCCAATTCCAACGGAGTTTCTTTTAAATATAAATTCCTTGCACACAAAGTGTTTGATAAAATACCAAAAATAGTTTCTTGTGTTGTTTTGTGCATTTTGACATCTAATTGAGTTATAAAAGGAAGAATTGTCATGAGTTGCACAAGTCCATTGGGAGACGATATTTTTACTTATTCACTGTATTACTTGTAACGATTTGGTATACTTGCAAAAAAGTTAACATTTTTTTTAATAAATTTTTTGATAATAGAGTGATCCCCGGACGGCGTCGACGATCGGTACCCGTGAAACATCAAAGTCGAACAGCTGCAACAATGATTTCTGAACATAATTAAGGTAAAACACTGATTAAAGATGATTGAGCTTGAATTCAACTGTGATTAAGATTTTGTTAATCCAAACTCACAACCAAAACTATAAATACAGATCAAACTTAAGAGCTACAGATATTCATTAATTATGTATTCATTATGGCACTTAACTTATCGACCTCCTATCGGTGTACATTAGATTAAACAAAGCTTAACTCGACGAAGCGTGGTTGGAAAAAATTTTGTAGAGCTTAGGCGACTTAGCCTATACCCAAAAATAGTCCATATGTCATTAATTTATTTTACTGGTCTTCTTCAATCTTAAAAAAAGTTGTAAAAAAAAGAAACTTAGATAGAAAAACTTTTTCCAATCTGAAATGGCATGCAAGAAAACGAAAGCTGGCTGAAAAGAATGTACTCTGTTTTCCGATCACCATATCCATGAACGCGCCCTCTCCAAACCTGCTTGGTTCTTTGCTGGAGTCAGCTGTTTCAACCCGCTCTTCCCTGCTTGGCCGTTCCGTCCACGCGCTCATCCTCAGAACCCATGACACCCCTCTCTCCTCCTTCCTCTGCAACCACCTCGTCAACTTGTACTCCAAACTCGACCGTATCAACTCAGCTGAAATCCTTCTGTCACTCACCAATCCCCGCACCGTCGTCACCTGGACGTCTCTCATCTCCGGCTGCGTTCACAACCGTCGTTTCACCTCCGCGCTCCTCCACTTCAGTAACATGCGCCGCGAGTGTGTTCTCCCTAACGACTTTACGTTTCCCTGCGTCTTCAAAGCTTCGGCTTCGTTGCGCATGCCCTTTACTGGAAAACAGCTTCACGCCCTCGCTCTAAAAGGTGGAAATATATTGGACGTGTTTGTGGGGTGCAGCGCCTTTGACATGTACAGCAAAACCGGCCTTCGAGTCGAGGCTCGTAACATGTTCGACGAAATGCCGCACAGAAACTTGGCCACGTGGAATGCGTATATTTCCAATGCAGTTCAGGATGGCCGGTGTTTGGATGCAGTTTCCGCGTTTAAAAGGTTTCTTTGTGTGGGTGGAGAGCCCAATGCGATAACGTTTTGTGTGTTTCTCAATGCGTGTGCTGACATGGCGAGTTTAGAGCTCGGGATTCAGTTACACGGATTTATAGTTCGGAGCCGGTACCGGGAGGATGTCTCTGTTTCCAATGGGCTTATTGATTTCTACGGAAAATGTGGGGACGTGGTGTCATCTGAAATGGTTTTTAATAGAATTGGCAGTGGCAGGAGGAATGTTGTTTCCTGGTGCTCTATGCTTGCTGCTCTTGTGCAAAACCACGAGGAAGAGAGAGCGTGTATGGTCTTCCTGAAGGCAAGGAAGGAGGTTGAGCCAACAGATTTCATGATATCGAGTGTACTCAGTGCGTGTGCGGAGCTTGGAGGGCTTGAACTGGGCAGGTCAGTTCATGCTCTTGCTGTTAAAGCATGTGTCGAGGAGAATATATTTGTTGGGAGTGCACTTGTTGATATGTATGGAAAATGCGGAAGTATAGAAAACGCAGAGCAAGTATTCAAAGAAATGCCCGAGAGGAACCTAGTCACTTGGAATGCAATGATAGGTGGATATGCACATTTGGGCGATGTTGACATGGCATTGACTTTATTTGAGGAGATGACACTGGGCAGCTTTGGTATAGCACCAAGTTATGTTACACTAGTTTCTGTATTGTCAGCATGTAGTAGGGCAGGGGCAGTGGAGAGAGGTTTGCATATATTTGAATCCATGAGAGGGAGATATGGAATTAAACCAGGCGCTGAGCATTATGCATGTATTGTGGACCTTCTTGGGAGGTCTGGTTTGGTAGATCGTGCATATGAATTTATTAAAAGAATGCCAATTCTTCCCACTATATCTGTATGGGGAGCTCTACTCGGGTCTTGTAAGATGCATGGGAAAACAGAGCTGGGGAAAATTGCAGCTGAAAAATTATTCCAGCTAGATCCTGATGACTCTGGCAACCATGTAGTGTTTTCCAACATGCTTGCATCTGCTGGCAGGTAAAAATTTACAATTTCGATAACTAAGTTTCCTTCTTGGATAGAATGGATAAGTTAGCTGAGTTGTTCGTTCTATTTGGTAGAATAAGCTGTCCCATCCAAATTAGTCTCAAAAGAATTTACCTTCTTTTTTATTTTTCTGCTTCTAGTAGGATAAGGTTTGTATTATTGTAGTGGTGGTTTTCATTTTTCTGTAGTTGCTTTAGCATGTTTAGCCAGAACTTAAACTGTCTCTTCCTTCTGAATTAATATTTTTTATGGTTCTTTTGCTAATGCTTGTAATTGCTAAATGCAGATGGGAAGAAGCCACTATTGTCAGGAAGGAAATGAGAGATATTGGAATTAAAAAAAATGTTGGTTATAGTTGGGTTGCTGTAAAGAATAGAGTCCATGTTTTCCAAGCAAAGAATAGTTCTCATGAAAAGAACTCTGAAATTCAGGCAATGCTAGCTAAGCTCAGAGAGGAGATGACGAAAGCTGGGTATGTTCCTGATACCAAACTATCACTTTTTGATTTAGAAGAAGAAGAAAAGGCTTCAGAATTATGGTACCACAGTGAGAAGATTGCTCTAGCATTTGGCCTCATAGCTCTCCCTCATGGAGTGCCCATACGTATTACAAAAAATCTTAGGATTTGTGGAGATTGTCATAATGCCATTAAGTTCATCTCAAAAATTGTTGGAAGAGATATTATCGTGAGAGATAATAATCGTTTTCATCACTTTAAGGATGGTTGGTGTTCTTGTAAAGATTATTGGTAATAGTTCCATAGTCCCATTATTTTATCTGTTTCATATGCGTCAAAGAATATTTTTGAAACAACACATCAGGTTCTCTTTACCCATGTTGATGGTGAATGCAGATCAATTGTTACTTTCACGGTGTATCTGCCATTTTCTAATAAACTGTGCAGGGGTATTGTACCATTCTCTTAGTGTGTCCATTCTGCACAGGTGCTTGTTCAGGGTGTTTATATGGTAGAGTTTGACAAGGGATTCTGCAGAGTGATCTATGTATGGGACAGGTTGATTTGATTTTGGTTGTGTTGTGCTATAGTTGATATATCTTCTGCCTTGGATGGGGGCATTACATATTTTTTGGTGGTTGAGGTGGGAAACAGACAATTTTATCCGATTGTTACCAACGTTGCTATAAATTTAGTGATTCAGTTTATAACTTGGTGTGGTTCAGGGCACACCTTAATTTAGGGGTAGCAGTGTGGCTATGAGTGGATTGTAGGGTGTTCAACATCTGATGATATATCAAAACAAGGTGTTCCCATACAAGCATGGGAAATGCATAGGAAGTGTTGTATGGGGTAACATTGCAGCAGCTGCTCCAGAGCCTAAAAAGGACATTTGAATAATGGAAGAAGATGGAAGAAGCTGCTTCAGGGCACACTAATAGCCCCAAAGGTCTTTAAGGTGTGTTCCACACTTCTGGAAAACCTAAAAGACCCTCTTTTTCACAATGAAACAAGGAAAATAAGTCAGACGTGTCATATTAGCAAAAGTTGTGACGCCCAAAGCCTCATGTTATACACCGTGCGTGCACTCAGACGGAAGAAACTAGCTCTCTGTCCCACTGGCACTCAGCTTAGATAACCACTAGGAGGTGGCACCCGGCTTGAGGTAAGTGGCGGCCAGCCTTGGGGACAAATTTCCTCTCTACCTTCATGGTGCTAAGCTTGATTCAAGTACCGCCTAACATAGGTAATCTTTTGGAAATCCTAAATTTTACCTTTCTATCTCTACTTTCACGAATTTCAATCTTGCTTCACTTGATCCAAGTGCTTCCTGTTCAATTTTATTATGAATTTTCATTTTATATAATATATTATTTAACTTGTTAAATTTTATTAATCATTTTATACCATCACAACAATCTTATATATAATATTTCTTTTAATTACATAAAAACATATAATTTTATTAACTAAATAGTTTTTATCAATATGTTCTTTTATATATTCTCTTACTATCTTCAAACTGATTCTTCATTTATTTTAATTAAGTTTACTTGCTTCCTTTCTATATGATTTGGTTTGTGTTTTTCAGTCAAAAGTATTTTCTGAGTTAAAGTTGCTTGTACTTTTATCTTCTTCATATTCTTTTAAGAAAATAAAATTTCTTACTTCCTTGGTAATATCAAAACTATGATGTGACAAATTTATGGGACAAGAAATTTATATAAAAAATACAGATTGATATTTTAGTTGTATGGGATACGACAATGTGATACAACAAACATGGTTGTAGCGTTTAATATATTTTACAAGAAACTTTTTTCTATATAAACAAAAAATTATTATAATTAACTATATGATAATCTGTACTAACCGGTCCATTTTGGCAAGTTTTCTATGATTGTTTGTATAATGCCGGCAAAAATTTATCAAAACGAGTTCACTCATAAAATATTGATAGATTATCTTTTTTAATAATAATAATCTAGTTTCTATTATATAATTACTACACTAAATATAATAATAATAATAATAATAATGTAGTTTCTATTATATATGAGATTGATGTTAATTTATTCTAACAATATTTGATAAAAAAAATTAATTATTTATGGTTTAAACTTTGACACTTTAGTTAGTTAACACTGTTATTATTAAGTTATATTATAAGTTATAGTTACTTAAAAATTAATTAATTAAACCGATTAGAGATCAATCAATCTCATCTTATCTTTGATTGATTATACGTGGAGTAAGAAACTGAAATGTTTACTCCTTAAAATAGCAATATCACATAAATTATATACAGTTATAATTTAAGTTTATTAGTTAACATAAAAGTAATAAATACGATGATGAAGAAAATAAATATTTTATAACAATAACAATTGTCAACTTTTTTTGAAGATGACTTATATTAATGTAACTTATTTATATATTTTTTGTAATGATATTAATTTTTACTCAATTAAACAAACTCAACTTTTAATAATTAAATTTAAGTTCTTTTAATTATTATTGGTAGTAATACTTAAGAAATAAGTATATATACTTTTTTTAAACTCAAGCTTATTTCTATTGAATTTTATCATATATGAAAAGGGATATTCAAATTTTGGACAATATAAAATCTGAAGTAAAGCAAATTATACATAGAAATATGCAATTTTGATTTAATTCCCATAATTGGGCTTTTCAATCATGCTTGAGGTTCAAGGTATGCTTCATCAAAACTGGATCGGTTACACGCAGGCAGAACAAAAGAAATTATCATAAAAAAAAATGAATAACGAACGTCATTTAATGTTAAATTAAATTGAATATTTTTCAAATATAAGAGTATATGTTTTTAATCTGACAATTTTGCTGATAAAATAAAAATCTGCCAATTTAGTCAGTTTTAAAAAGGAAAATGACACTTGAACAACCATTTTTGACAACATTTAGACACGCGCACACGTGTCAAAATCTGAGTGGTCCATTTTCATTTAATTTTTTCAACTGGACCACTCAGATTTTGACACGTGTGCGCGTGTCTAAATGTTGTCAAAAATGGTTGTTCAAGTATCATTTTCCTTTTAAAAATTCTTCATTTTAAGTTAAGAAATACTAGATGTATGTCTGTTTTTAAAGTTTAAAGATAAAAAGATATAAAAATCTTGCCACCTTTATCTATTTATAAATATTAAAAAACAAATTTTTTAATCAATATAAGAAATGATAGATTGAATTTTTTTCAAAGGAAAAAATTCACTTAACTATCCGCTTTAATAATATAATAATATATATTAAAACTTTAAAGTTAAAAAATAATATATATAATTAAAGTATTATTATTATTATTTTGAATTTTAATTTCTTTCTGAATGTGAAAAATATTAGGATTACAGAATTTGAAATTTGAAATAATAGAAGTTGAGCGTGAGAAGGGTAGCTCCACAAAGACAATTAGGGTTTTCACGTGAAAAAATAGTTGATGTCCCCCATTAAGGTGCTACTACACTCAGAAGATGCTTCATTTATATCGGTCATTCATGTCTCCAGATTACCCAATTATCAATCACATCAACTACAAAACGTGGCCCTGGATTTTATTTCTGGGTTTTCCTTGCTTAATCTCTACCTTCGCACTAACGTCACCATCAAATGTTATGCTGAAAAACAATCTCAATTTTCAAGCTATTATTCCTTCGTTCAGGTTTTCTTCTTTCCTTGGAGTGTAAATTACGTGTTCAACTGAGCCAAAATTGCTACTTCCACAACAACCTTAGATGCTAGCTTGGCCAAACTTGGAATATTTAGAAATGGAATGACAGCAATAATGTAAGCATGAACGGAGACCTTTGATGGTTCATGATATATAAGGACCGTTGGACAAGTAAAAAGTAGGAGGAACCTTGCCAAGTCTGCGTCTTACTCACAAAAGAACTGTCACTGATTTTGTACAGCAGATTGCTATTTCGCTTTTACTTCAGACTTAATCAACGTCTATGCAAGTCACATTTGGACTTGTTTTTATCTATTTTCTTGTCTTCTCATTTCCCTATAAGAATATTTCATTATTCCAATTCTGGATTATCCCCGGAACTGTGATCAAATTTATAGATATATTTGCCACGATTTATCGTATAATCTGTTCTAAAATCAAAAAGCCATTTCACTCTCACCATACAAGGGGCACTAACTTGTGACCCGAAGACCATGTCATCCATGATGCAACCACATTCCTTACTAACCCTGCTTGTTTTCACACTTTCGCCAAGCTCAAGCATCATGATCCACAAAACACAACATCATATCATATCCATTTGAAGGATTTTGACATCACAGAAACAATGGTACATGAAATATGAGGGTTCAGACTACAAACATAATCGGAAGTTACTGTAACAGGGAATCGTCGGGAAGGACCGAGTAGAAACTGGATGTCCTCGTGGAAATGTCGAATGTGAAATCAAAGTAATCCAAAGCAAAGTATGAGTAATAAGAAAAGTGGAGTAGCAAGTTGTAACTCGACTGTGTAAGCTAGCTTAACATGTGAGAAAAGATTCCCTGCCTCCATGTGGTCTTCTTTGCAACCACCTATCTTCTGTGTTTCTTCCTACTTTTCTTGGGTTGTTGAGTAGTGTCAATACTTTTTTCCTAGGATTCATAATTGCAATCTCTTTCCTTCATATTTTATTTCAATAACAGAAATAATATTCTACATACTAAATACATACCACAAACTAAATTTAGTCGGCAATTTCTCCTACTACCTTCTAAACCTGGTTTACTCGCGTTCTTTTCTCTGCATCCTTAATTTTGGCATTTTATAATAAAATATATGAAAAATATTTTTCAAAAACATAAGAAGCCATCGATACTTTCTACATTAGTAAAGAGAGGATTAATTTAGAATTATTCTTTAGAAGAATGCCACAAAAGGAATAATAAGATACCATGGTTGAATGAGGTACTAACAAAAATACCATAGTTGGGCTAATAGGGCAAAAAACTACCCATCAAAGATTCCCTGCCTCCGTAGTGGTCATTGCAATAACTGTATGTTCCGAGTGCTTTCTTCCTTCTTTTTATGGATACTCATCAAAGATTCCCTGCCTCCTTAGTGGTCTTTACTACCTACTCACGTTCTGAATGTTCTCTTCCTTTATATGGGTTGTTGCGCTCGGTTTAATTAGGTAAGTAGCGTGAATGAGAATACTGTTCCTATTATTTAGGAATACATAATTGCCATCTGTTCCCTTCATTTCTTATCCCCAACTGATATACTGTTACTGTCCCACCAAACCAAATACACATCCCTGATTTAGCTGGCAGGATTCTCCAACTTTCCTTCTCCACCTAGGTTACTCACATTCTTTTTTCTCATCAT